GACGTCTTTCTATTCTAGCAATTGGGTAAAATGCAAAAACAGCCGATCTACTATTATTTTTTTCTATCGAGTTATTAACACCTATCTCTACGCATACAATGTACTAATCTCATGTGAAGATAATTGCGAATTGTAACTCGACACCAAACATATATATATATAACAGTTATCAAAATATAGAGATTACGACGATTTTGAAAAAAAATGTCTTCATCAATCGGTTTGATTGCTATCATTGTTCTCTCTAGTTGGACCTCCGTTCAAACTTGTCAATTCAACCAGTATGATCGGTGTTCAGCAAACAATCACTGTGCTTGACTTTCATTTGGAATAGGTGCTGAAGGAGGTATTTGTGCATACGTTGGAGACATTTGCTATATGAAATTGTCACCATGCGAAAATGATAATTTCACTTGTACTCAACCAAATTCGATATGTGTCAAACATACTCGGTGTAATGAAAGGCCAGTTTGATACTCAATGAAATTAGCTGATCCAGTCATTTGTCCTCCTATGACTACGAATACACGTAAGCAAGAAGACATATTGTTCTGTGAATAGTTAGAATGAAATCTATACTTCTTTTAAAGCGGCTACTTTTTCACCGAGGCCTAATGATGGTCTTTGTACAAAGGCAACTTGGTATCCGGAAGCGAAGACAGTCGCGGGTGGTAATGGTTATGGTTCAGCTCTTAATCAACTCTCTCATCCTCATAGTATATTTCTTGATCCTAATGATAGTGATGCTCTTTATATTGTTGATTCTGGAAATAACCGCATCCTAAAATGGGATCAGGTTTCATCGACTGGTAGTGTTATCTTAGGCAGGATGGGAAGAGGAAATAATAGCAGTCAACTTAATTACCCTGCGTTTATGACAATGGACAAGCTCGGAACTATGTATGTGACTGATTCCAATAACTATCGTGTGCAACGACTGGAAAAGGGTGCTGATGTCGCTGAAACTATAATCTCGAACATCAGCGCTAGGGGTATAACCACTGACAAAGAAGATCAGCAAAGCTTGTATCTAGTTGTTTCCAGCCAACATGTAGAGCAGATTATCAAATACTCAAGAGACGGAGAATATCAACATATTGTCGCTGGTTTAGGCAGAGGACATGCGCTCACTCAACTTGCAGTCCGTAAGTTGAATCTTTGTAACTGGTTTACGAGCAGATATTGACTTGATCAAGATACTAGCTATATAAAATAACAAGAAAAGAAACATGAGAAACTGACAAACTTCAGATTTATTACTGTGGTATGTGGAATATTATTCAATCAGTGAATATTTTGAATGAATTTGCAGAGCATAATCAGTGTTTCTCGAAAATACAACAGTGGATGTTCTTAGATATAAAGACAAATAGAGAGAACGCAATAGATAACCCAAGTGCCATACAAGTTATGAAATGATCATGACAAATCTCAGTAATAATATTGGTGAGTTTTCAGTACTTTAGGTGAAATAAGGGAAAAGATATTTGATGTACTTTTAAAATCTGTTTCCTGGTGTCAAAAGTTTTAATTTATCACCAGTTTCCTCCTTAATGAAAGTTCGAGTTATGTTCGTGCCAAGACTTTGACAGATTGAAATAGAATTTTGTTTGAGATCCCTGCTTTTCATCGTCGAAATAACAGAATTCTGGCACAAGCAAATAACAAATAAGTGTGTATATGATTCTGGCAAAAATTAAATAGGATCGTCTCATAGTTTTCGAAGGATTTTAATTAACTTCGAATCTGTTAACAAACCAGACAGTTCGCAAACTGTAATGGAGACATGCACTATGAAAGAGAATGAAATCTTTGCATTATTTGAGGAAGGATTTTATCAAGACCAGACATGTTCTCAATGAATGTAAGTCAAACTTTAATGAACGTTTAGTCGAAAAAGATTTTCAAAAAGTATCCAGGATTATTCTTCCAATAATGACAACATTTTTTCAAGGCTTTTGACAGAAAATGAATAGTGCTGTCAGAATTTGAAACAAAAAAAAAATTGTCGAGTACAGACGTGACCATGATTGTGAGCATTTTTATCAACAATATACTATATACGCAAAATTTTCTTAATTTTTGACATGAAGAGATTCCACTAGATCTCTACTACGCTATCAGAATGTTATTTTAGCACAACAGGTCCACGTTGACCATAATGGCACAGTATTTATTGCTGACACAGGCAACCATCGTGTGATGAAATACTCGGTGAACGCTACAATAGGAGAAATTGTGGCAGGAGGCAATGGTCAAGACATCAAATTAAATACTATAGGTCTTCCACATTCTGTTTTCGTTGATCAACTTGGTTCAGTCTACGTAGTCGATAAATATAATGATCGCATCGTTCGTTGGTTGAAAGATGCTCAGAGTGGCACTGTCATTGCCGGAGGGCCTGGTCCAGGTATTTCGTCCAGACTGCTTAAGCAGCCTACAGATCTAGCTTTTGATCGTGAAGGCAACTTATATGTATGCGATTCTCAAAATAGTCGCATACAAATGTTTGCCATAGATCCAAGTTCTTGTGGTGAGTCGTACTCTAACACTTGATTCTCAGTAAATATACTTTCTCTTTTTTCTATATAAGGGGACCCCAGTCAATAATAATTTACACAAGACATCAAACAGAAACATATCGCGTGTTTGATGCGCAACATCTGATTCAGAATAGACCTTACCATTTCATTGATTTATTATTATTCATGCAACAATTTCCTGGCAATATATTTCTGTCCAGATATTTAATTGAATAAAAACATCTAATAATTTAATATTGATAAACAGGTTAAGCCTCAAAATAAGATATCTGCATGCTTTCTAGGGTGACCAGATCAAAATATCGAAAATCATAAATTAACCAGTAAGGATAAATGGTGTGAATCTGATATTACTAATGTGTAAATGATGATGTTTTATACACAATCACACCCTCGTTGCAGTTCATTGAATGATAGGATATCGATATACAATTAACTTTTTAAAACAGAAGAAAAAAAAGAGAAATGCTCAAGTAAATCTCTATAAGAAAAAAAATCAATTCAAAGAAACTTTTATTATGGTTACTAAAGAAGTCAATATAATAATTTGCTTGAAGTCGAAGGGGAAAGTGTGTTTTTTTTGATAATCTGCACTCGTTCAATTATTTCTCAAATTTGCCATATCATAATAAATCGAACTTTGAGAAGTCGAAGAATGGAAAAAATCATTTTATAGCAAGCTTTTTTAGTTTATATTTCTATTATGAAAATATTTCACAATATTATTGTGAGCTGAATTATTTTTCAAGCATATCCATATGTTAACTAATTATCAAACTTGAACAAGAATTATTGAAAATAAATGCGAAAACTTCGGATTTAAATCCGAGAGTTATGTGTACTTCAAAAAGTGAATCATACAAATCAATCATCCTAGACTGTCTGAATATCAAAATTATACTGTGGAATCTACCATTTAAAATGTTGAATTACATAGCGCGTTGCCAAACCAATAGGAAATGAGACAGAATCAAACT